CCCCATCAACCCCAAACTTTGGCCCCATCAATCCCCACATTTTGGTCCCCATCTACCCCAAACTTTGACCCCACAAACCTCAAATTCTGGGCCCCCATCAACCCCAAACTTTGGCCCCATCAACCCCAAACTTTGGCCCCATCAACCCCAAACTTTGGCCCCATCAACCCCAAACTTTGGCCCCATCAACCCCAAACTTTGGCCCCATCAACCCCAATTCCTTGATCCCCATCAACCCCAACTCTTTGGTCCCCATCACCCCCAAACTTTGATCCCACAAACCTCAAATTCTGGGCCCCCATCAACCCCAAACTTTGGCCCCATCAACCCCAATTCCTTGATCCCCATCAACCCCAACTCTTTGGTCCCCATCACCCCCAAACTTTGATCCCACAAACCTCAAATTCTGGGCCCCCATCAACCCCAAACTTTGGCCCCATCAACCCCAATTCCTTGATCCCCATCAACCCCAACTCTTTGGTCCCCATCACCCCCAAACTTTGATCCCACAAACCTCAAATTCTGGGCCCCCATCAACCCCAAACTTTGGCCCCATCAACCCCAAACTTTGGCCCTATCAACCCCAATTCCTTGATCCCCATCAACCCCAACTCTTTGGTCCCCATCAGCCCCAAACTTTGGCCCCATCCACCCCAACTCTTTGATCCCACCAACCCCAATTCCTTGATCCCCATCAACACCAACTCCTTGGTCCCCATCAACCCCAAACTTTGGCCCCTCAACCCCCTCATTTTGGTCCCCATCCACCCCAAACTTTGACCCCACAAACCTCAAATTCTGGGCCCCCATCAACCCCAAACTTTGGCCCCATCAACCCCAACTCCTTGGCCCCCATCAACCCCAACTCTTGGCCATCAACCCCAAACTTTGTCCCCATCAATCCCCACATTTTGGTCCCCATCCACCCCAAACTTTGACCCCACAAACCTCAAATTCTGGGCCCCCATCAACCCCAAACTTTGGCCCCATCAACCCCAATTCCTTGATCCCCATCAACCCCAACTCTTTGGTCCCCATCACCCCCAAACTTTGGCCCCATCGACCCCAACTCTTGAGCCCCATCAACCCCAAACTTTGGCCCCTCAACCCCCACATTTTGGTCGCCATCAACCCCAAACTTTGGCCCCATCAACCCCAACTCCTTGGTCCCCATCCACCCCAAACTTTGATCCCACAAACCTCAAATTCTGGGCCCCCATCAACCCCAAACTTTGGCCCCATAAACCCCAACTCCTTGGTCTCCATCAACCCCAGACTTTGGCCCCATCAACCCCAATTCCTTGATCCCCATCAACCCCAACTCCTTGGTCCCCATCAACCCCAGACTTTGGCCCCATCAACCCCAACTCCTTGGTCCCCATCAACCCCAGACTTTGGCCCCATCAACCCCAACTCCTTGGTCCCCATCAACCCCAGACTTTGGCCCCATCAACCCCAACTCCTTGGTCCCCATCAACCCCAGACTTTGGCCCCATCAACCCCAAACTTTGGCCCCATCAACCTCAACTCTTGAGCCCCATCAGCCCCAAACTTTGGCCCCATCAACCCCAAACTTCGCCCGATTCCCCTCCAAGTTCTTCCTCCCTCCCAAAACCACCCAGCCGAGGGCAAAATGAAGGGCACCAAAAAAAAAGCCAAAATGGGTTTATTTTTTATATATATATAAAAAAAACCAACACATTTGTACAGTTTTAATTCCTCTATGAAAAAAAAAACAACCAACCAAACCAACCAACAGAACTTCCTACCACGGCCTTAAATGCTTCGATCCACTGCAAACTGGGTCAAAAAAACCACCTTTCTTTTAATATATTAAAACCCCAACTTTCCATGGGACAATTTTCTACACACATGCACGAGGGTTCAGCCCAAACCAACCCCCAAATCCACCAAAAAAGGGTTTTTTCAACTCCCAAGTGGAAAAAATCCCCCCCTTTCCCGACCGACCCGTCTGCTCTGCTCAGGGAAGTCTTAGTTTTTGCATGGAATGCCCCAAAATGGGCTCCCAGTGGCACTGGTGGGAACTGGGAGGGTCTTGGGGGGGTTAAACTGGGTCTCTCAAGGGTTGGAAACTCCTGAAAAATGGGGATTTCCTGGGAATTGGGCAAGTGGGTTCCAAGTAGCTCCTTGTCTGGATGGGGACAGCCCCCCAGGCCCCCCCCAGTGTTGCTTGGTGTTGCTACTGGTACTTACTGGAGAGGCCCCCAGCCCCTCTGGGGTGACACAAGTGGCCCCACCAGTCTTATTGTGCTCCCCCAGTATCTTGATGTTGCTACTGGTAGTTACTGGGGAAGCCCCCAGCCCCTCTGGGGTGACACAGGTGGCCCCACCAGCCTCATCATCCCCCCCCAGTATCATGATGTTGCTACTGGTACTTACTCCTTGGGTGTCCCCCCCCCCAGTCCACCCCCCTTTTAGTGCTTAGGACAAAAGAAACCAAACCCAAATCCAACTGGGATGAAACTGGGATGAAGCTTCCATGACCACCAACCCCTCCCTGCCCAACCACAACCCCTCCTGAACCCCACAAGACCCCCCCAGGACCCCATAAGACACCCCCAGGACCCCACAAGACCCCTCCAGGACCCCACAAGATCCTCCCCCCCAGCCCAGCCCAGCATGGCCAGACAAGGAGATCCAGGAAGAAACCCATGAGGTATTTGAGACCTTGACATCACCAAGGGAAGGCAAAGGTTTCATCACCAGTCCCTGCTGGTGGCACCACCATGAACCACCCTGGGACATGGATTAAGGACCTCACTGAGCCACCAGCTCCCACCACTCACCAGGAACCCCTGGTTTCACCACCTCCCACTGCCTCCAGGTCCAGAATGGGACCCCGAGAGGCACCTGAAGCTCCTCTGGCTGCTGCTGGTGTGAGGAAGCACCGTGGAGATCCTGCTGGGACCAGGACCAGGGGTCACCTCAGGAGAAGAAGAACCACTTAAAAAAAAAAAACCAACCCTTCTGGTTCTCTTCAAAAACCAGATTTTCACTTGCTTTAGTTAAGAGCTGAGTGTGGAAACCAGCAGGAGAAGGGTGAGAAGGATGTTCCTACAGCCAGGAGCACCATCACTCCTGGATGGTCTTGGATAGTGTTGGATGGTGTTGGATGGTCTTGGATGCTCTTGGATGGTCTTGGATGGTCTTGGATGGTCTTGGATGCTCTTGGATGCTCTTGAATGGTCTTGAATGGTCTTGGATGGTCTTGGATGGTCTTGGAGGTTTTGATAGCAGCCATGGATCACAGAGGGGTTTGCAAAATCCTCACCAAACCCAACCTCAAAGATTAAAAACCAGCCCCAGGAGGTGGGTTAAGGCCAGAGCCAGGACAATTGGCAGGTAGAAAACGAGCCAGAGCAGAAGGTCCTTGGGACCTGGTGGTGGTGCTTGAAGACGCTGGTGAAGAACATGTTGAGTTAGCCCTTGAGTGATGGCACCAAAAGGCCCTCTCCTTCCTGGCCACGCTGCTGTCCTTGGGGATGCTACATGGACTTCAAGGAGGAGGAGGAGGAGGAGGAAGAGGAGGAAGGAGCTCAGCCCACCCCAACCTGAGGTGGAGGGCGAGTGGTCCCTGGTGGTGGAGCCAGGCGTGGGTGCTGCTTAATGGCACCCACTGAAGTTCTGCCCTCCAGCCTCCCTGAGCCCCATGGAGACCAGGGGGGGTTCAGAGAGGGTCTCCTCCCCCTCCCCAAGCTTCTCCAGCTCACACGGAGGTCTCAGACTGAAGCCTCATGACGAACTTGTGCGACTTGGGGTCCACGAACTCCTCCGAGAGCTTGAAGAAAGGGATATTCTTGGTGCTCACCACCAGGCTGAAGTCCTGGCGCTTCAGCACAAAGACCACCCCGTCCTTCAGGCCGTTGGTCACCGGCTCCTCGCTGACCAGTGTCCACTGCTTGGCCAGCCAACGGTCCTTGTGGTACTGGATAGTGGGTCCTGCCGTCAGGTACCGTTCCAGGAAGGCCTGGCAGGAGGGAAAGGAGATGTGAACATCACAGTCATGGCATGGGTTGGGTTGGTGGGACCTGAAAGACCATCTAGATCCAACCCCCCTGCATGGGCAGGGACACCTCCCTCAACACCCCCAGGGATGGGGCAGCCACAGCTTCCCTGGCCAACCTGGCCCAGGCTCTCCCCACCCTCACACTCCACAATTCCCTCCTCAGCTCCAACCTCCAGCTCCCTCTCCCACTTTTCATCCCTCCCCCTCATCCCATCCCTCCCTGCCCTTGGCCCAAGTCCCTCCCCAGCTTTCCTGGAGCCCCTTCAGGCCCTGGAAGCTGCTCTAAGGTCTCCCTGGAGCCTTCTCCTCTCCAGGCTCAACACCCCAACTCTCCCAGCCTGGCTCCAGAGCTGCTCCAGCCCTCCCAGCATCTCTGGGGCCTCCTCTGGCCTCTCTTCACCAGCTCCATGTCCTTCCTATGTTGGGGACCCCAGAACTGGTCCCCGTTCTCCAGGGGGTCTCAGCAGAGCAGAGCAGAGCAGAGGGGACAATCCCCTCCCTGGCCCTGCTGGTGACACAGCCCAAGCCATGGTGAGCTTTGATGTGTCATGTCCAGCTTCTCCTCACCCCAACACCCCCAAGTCCTTCTCCTCAGGGCTGCTCTCAGATGAAGGTGAACATCACCTTCCCATGGCTCAGCCTACTGGTTCTCCTGCTGCTGGGCAGGTCCTGCAGGAAAAACATCTCCACGTGGTTGGTTCCCATCACTGCTTGGTGCTCCCTTGGGGTTACACCCAACTTTCCTGCCTCTGTCCCCCAACCCCTCCTCCTCCTGGGGAGGGAAACACTGAAGATAAAAAAGCCCACCCGAGTTCCTCACCCTTTGGCCCAAGCCCCTGAGCAAACCTGGAGACCTGTCCCACCTTCCCTGTGCACCCCAACTCTGTGCACACCTTGGGTGTCATGTCGTGGGTGATGCAGAACTCGAGGTGCTGCAGGATGCTCTCCATGGTGTGGTAGGGCTGCTGCTTGGTGGTCCTCAGGTACTTCTGCATGGCCCGGGCCATGGAGGCAAAGATGGCCTGAGCTGCCTCCCGTGGGTCCATGATCTCCCGTGGGTTCTTCTGGTCCTCCTCCTGCAGCCTCTTGATGTGGGTGAAAGCTTCTTCCACTGCCACCACCAGCCTGCCAAGAGGAGCCCCATGGAGACCCTACCTAGGGATGGAGTTTCTTCCACTGCCACCACCAAGAGGGACCCCATGGAGACCCTACCTAGGGATGGAGCTTCTTCCACTGCCACCACCAAGAGGAACCCCAAGGAGACCCTACCTAGGGATGGAGCTTCTTCAATCCCTCCACCACCAGCCTGCCAAGAGGAGCCCCATGGAGACCCTACCTAGGGATGGAGTTTCTTCCACTGCCACCACCAAGAGGGACCCCATGGAGACCCTACCTAGGGATGGAGTTTCTTCCACTGCCACCACCAAGAGGGACCCCATGGAGACCCTACCTAGGGATGGAGTTTCTTCCACTGCCACCACCAAGAGGGACCCCATGGAGACCCTACCTAGGGATGGAGTTTCTTCCACTGCCACCACCAAGAGGGACCCCATGGAGACCCTACCTAGGGATGGAGCTTCTTCCACTGCCACCACCAAGAGGAACCCCATGGAGACCCTACCTAGGGATGGAGCCTCTTCCACCACCAGCCTGCCAAGAGGAACCCCAAGGAGACCCTACCTAGGGATGGAGCTTCTTCAATCACCAGCCTGTCTGTCAAGAGGAACCCCATGGAGACCCTACCTAGGGATGGAGCCTCTTCCACCACCAGCCTGCCAAGAGGAACCCCATGGAGTCCCTACCTAGGGATGACAGGAACCCAACTTCCACCCCACTCTCCCCCCCCCAGCCTGCCAAGAGGAGCCCCATGGAGACCCTACCTAGGGATGGAGCTTCTTCCACTGCCACCACCAAGAGGAACCCCATGGAGACCCTACCTAGGGATGGAGCCTCTTCCACCACCAGCCTGCCAAGAGGAACCCCATGGAGTCCCTACCTAGGGATGACAGGAACCCAACTTCCACCCCACCACCTTTGGAAGGAAGACCCTCCAGCACCACCCAATGCTTGGGATTCTCTCCCCCAAAAGCGGAACCACCTCAGCTTGGACGAGACGACCCCAAGGAGTTCCCCACTCTCTCCTCCCAGCCCAGCTCCTCAACGGCGGGGCCTGAAACGGGTCCCCCCAAGTACCCAGGGGTGGCGGTACCTGGCGCGGCGTTTCCGCACCCGGCGCTCGTGTTCGGCCTCCTCGTAGTAATACTCGTTGTGGCTGTTGTCGCGACGCCGCGCGGCCGCCGCGATCACCGCCCGCGACTGCCCCGTCGAGTTGTTGGTTGTGTTCTCTGTGGGGAAGGTGGGGAGCTCAGGGGGACCTTTCGGGGGGGGAAGGCAGTGCTCCCCGTGCCCCACGGGTGGGTGGTTGTGATCCCACTCTTTGGAGTCACCAGGAGGGAAAGGGAGGGATGGGGAAGGGTAGGATGAGGAGCTGAGGGATGGGGAAGGGTAGGATGAGGAGCTGAGGGATGGGGAAGGGTAGGATGAGGAGCTGAGGGATGGGGAAGGGTAGGATGAGGAGCTGAGGGATGGGGAAGGGTAGGATGAGGAGCTGAGGGATGGGGAAGGGTAGGATGAGGAGCTGAGGGATGGGGAAGGGTAGGATGAGGAGCTGAGGGATGGGGAAGGGTAGGATGAGGAGCTGAGGGATGGGGAAGGGTAGGATGAGGAGCTGAGGGATGGGGAAGGGTAGGATGAGGAGCTGAGGGATGGGGAAGGGTAGGATGAGGAGCTGAGGGATGGGGAAGGGTAGGATGAGGAGCTGAGGGATGGGGAAGGGTAGGATGAGGAGCTGAGGGATGGGGAAGGGTAGGATGAGGAGCTGAGGGATGGGGAAGGGTAGGATGAGGAGCTGAGGGATGGGGAAGGGTAGGATGAGGAGCTGAGGGATGGGGAAGGGTAGGATGAGGAGCTGAGGGATGGGGAAGGGTAGGATGAGGAGCTGAGGGATGGGGAAGGGCAGGAGGAGGAGTTGTGGGGTGGGGAGCTCACCCTCGCCGAGGGAATAGACTTTAAAGCCGGACATTTTCTTGGACAGGACGGACTTGGGCAGGTTGAGGAGGGCGGGGTTGTAGACCGGGAAATCGTGGTAATAGTTCTCCAGGATCCACACGGCTGCTCGCTGGATGCTGAGGGAGACACGGGTGGGAACGGGGGGCACGGGCAGGGCAGGAGGGGAGCACCCCGAGGGGCCAGGGGGGCAGGGGCAGGGGGACGGGCAGCGCGGGGCCTGCAGGCACCCACACGTATGTGCCCACACATGGGAGTGCCCATGCACGTGTGTGCGTGTGCACACGTGGGTGGGAGGGTTGGGCTTGATCTTCAAGGGCTTTTCCAACCTCAGAGGTTCCTTGGATGTGCAGAGCTCAGCTGCACATGCACACGCATGAACACCCATGTGCACACCCATGAATACCCACGTGCACACCCATGAACACCCATGTGCACACCCATGAATACTCAGGTGCACACCCATGAACACCCATGTGCACACGCATGTGCACACATATGCACACCCATGTGCACACCACCCATGTGCACACCCATGAATACCCAGGTGCACACGCATGAACACCCATGTGCACACCCATGAACACCCATATGCACACCCATGAACACCCATATGCACACACATAAACACCCACGAACACACCCATGAATACCCAGGTGCACACCCATGAACACCCACGTGCACACCCACGAATACCCACGTGCACACCCATGAACACCCATGTGCACACCCATGAATACCCACGTGCACACACATAAACACCCATGTGCACACCCATGAATACCCAGGTGCACACACATAAACACCCACGTGCACACACATGAATTTTGTGGTTGGACATGACGACCTTAAAAGGGCTTTTCCAACCTCAATGTTCCCGTGGTTCTCTGAACATACACGTCAGTGCCTTGGCACATGCACACAGGTGAACACACAAGCATCAACATCTGTGCACATGTGGGGAATCATAGGATCCTGGGATGGGTTGGGTTGGAGGGACCTTCAAGATCACCTAGATCCACCCCCTGCATGGGCAGGGACACCTCCCAGCAGCCCAGGCTGCTCCAAGCCCCATCCAACCTGCCCTTCAACACCCCCAGGGATGGGGCAGCCACAGCTTCTCTGGGCAACCTGTTCCATGTGCACACACACACATGGACCCCTGTCAGTGCACACATGTACAGACACACACACGTAAATTCAACAACTGGAATTGAGGAGCTTAAAGGTCTTTTCCAACCTGAATGATTCCATGACTGTAGGTGCATTAAGGCCCGTGCACACATGGATGTGCACATGCACCGGTACATGTACATACATGGGCACACACGTAGGTGGACTTGTGTCAACACATCTGCACATGCACAGCACCGGTGGGTGTGCACACACGTGTGTGCACAGCACCAACATAGATGTACATAGACATGTGCACATGCACATACATGCAGGGGCTCCAGGGAGACCTTAGAGCAGCTTCCAGGGCCTGAAGGGGCTCCAGGAAAGCTGGGGAGGGACTTGGGCCAAGGGCAGGGAGGGATGGGATGAGGGGGAGGGATGAAAAGTGGGAGAGGGAGCTGGAGGTTGGAGCTGAGGAGGGAATTGTGGAGTGTGAGGGTGGGGAGAGCCTGGGCCAGGTTG